GGTTTAGGGTTGAGGGCGTTAGGGTTTTTTAGGGCTGATGGCCCTAAACCCTGATCCATCAACCCCACGACCTAAACAGCTTCGCTTGAGTTCCTAGGGACTCCAAAACCCCATGCTTAAGGAATATACCTGAAGTTATACATGGATCTCAAATATGATTTATGGTAATTGAGGGGCCTAAATAATTACCTACACTATTTTGGAGTTTCCTTATTATAATTATAGTATAATGGGCCCCAAAACCCTATTCTATTTTATTAAGGCCCCTACATTATATTCTTTACGTAGCGGGTTTTGGAGTCTCTGGGTTTTGGACAGAGAGGATCCGATCTAGAGGTTCTGGTGTCGGCCTTTGCAGCTTCAAGATTTTAAGGTTTAGGGTCTAGGGTTCAGGGTTTAGGGTTTAGGGGTTGAGGGTTCGGGGTTTACGGTCTAGGATGTGTGAGGTTGCACATGGGTAACTACGTGAGAGTTGCAGAGACTCAGGAGACCCTGACCAAAAAGCCTGAAACCCTAAACCCTAAACCATACCTTAAGAACCCAAAACCTACTTTTTTGTAGGATCCTTATATATCCCATATTAGGGTTTATAATAAGAACCTACAAAAAAGTGGGTTTGGGGTTCTTAAGGTAACCCCTAAACCCCTAATTTAAAGAGTTGAGAAGCTTGCCTAGCGGGCTTCTGGTCCTGTGGAACGACAAGAACTTCAAGCCTCAACGGTGTATCCGGTCAGGTTTGATGAGGACGTCGAGCGCTGGAAGGGTTTTAGGGTTTTGGGCTTTAGTGTTTAGGGTTTAGAGGTTTGGGTTTAGGGTTTAGGGTTTTAGGGTTTAGCGGTTAGGGTTTCCAATTAATTTTAATCGGAAGCCCGAGACTACACCTATCCACACCTGCAAGCCTTTCAAGGTACAACTTCAAAGTTAAGGAACATCAGGAGACCAACAAAGATACTGGTTTGGGGGTTTAGGTAAACCCTAAACCCTAAACCCTTAACCCTAAATCCCTAAACCCTAAACCCTAGGGCCAAGGCTTACGAACCCCGAAGCTCTGGAGTCGGTTTGGGTTTAGGGTTTAGGGTTTAGGGTTTAGGGTGTAGGGTGTAGGGTGTAGGGTTTAGGGTTTTAGGGTTTAGGGTTTAGGGTTTAGGGCTGTGGGTTTAAGGTTTGCAGTCTGCATGTCCCCCGATGCTCAAAGTAGAGCAGCCTACGCTCGACATGGTCCCTACCTTAACCTACCAAAGCCTACTTTTTCGCAGGATCACTATAATGAGCCTACCAGAAAGTAGGGTTTGGTTGTTTAAGGCATCTTGACTAAACCCACATAACAGAAAAGCCTCAATAATGACCAAAAAATAATCCTTAGGGAAACTATTATGAATATACTGTAAAAGGAGCCAAAACCCTCTAATTATTTAGGCCCGTACACTAAAAGTAGCATGCCTTTGTCAGGCTCTGTCTTAGGGTTTAGGGCTCGGGGCTAGGGTCGGGTGCTTTACCGTCCGGCGTCACAGGACGAGGCGCTCTGCGCACAGTTGCAGGCCTTGCTGTCCAATATAGAGGTCTGAATCTTAGGGGCTGAGTAGGTAACCTTTAACCTTTTGGGCCTTATATAATCCTGCTATAATTGAGAAGGCTAACCTTTTTTGGGGGGCTAGGGTACTCAGAAAGTTGTATTGGTTGGTATTCCCGTATGGCCCTTCATAATAAGTACATGCCACAGAATGCCCCGCAAACCTTATTCTAATTTTTAAGGCACCATTCGGTAACCTTTAACATTTTTGGGTGTATTTTAGTCCTTAAATGACCTGCAAGGCTTCCCTTCAGTTTAGTTCCCGCAGGATACTGGACATGCAAACAAAAGGTCTTACTATTCCGGCCTTTACATTACCCTAAACCCTTTATGCTACAACAACCTAAAGCACACATCTCAAGCAGCTACAAGTACTTACACGGAATAGCAAGCTGAGTTATAGTAGAGTTGTAAATTCAACAATCACCTAGCTGTTGGACGTATACACCTACTTAATTACCAGGTTCTCTGGTCATGCAAGCGGGGTCTCTCTCACAGCTGTCTCGGGACAGTTTCGAAGAGGATACTTACTATGTAAGTTGATCTTCACGATCATTGCCGGTGCTTGTCTTGCGATTGCTAGGCGGCCACCATTATTGCTTTAATATCTGTCCTATATAGCGCTTATCTCTGGCACCACGCTTACTAGATTCGTCGCTGCTGGATATTGCGTACCAAACCAGACCCCGCACCCTGGATCCTAAACCGCTGAATTTCTGCCCCTCGAGCCGTAGGCAACGGCAGCGGACTTGGCGAGCAATGGCGAAGAATGCCTGCTGCCACTGATCCAAAGTGCTGAGGCGGGAGGTAGCCTGAAATCCTTAATATAGGAGCCAGAATAAGTACCAATACTATTTTTGGGGGCTCCTTATTACAATTATAGTTGAATGGGCCGCAAAAACCCATTCTAATTGTTAAGGCCCCTATATGAATCAAGAAGCTGTCGCTTGAAACCGTATAGGTACAAACCCGCCATCCTAAGCCCTAGGGCCCCATGGAGGGTGGTTGTGCGCTGTGCGATCTGTGTCCCTCCCTCCCTCCCTCCCTCC